ATTTCTATGACATGAAATTCAACATGAAATCAGATTGAAATTCCTACATTTTGCTGCAGATTGATGCTTAAATTTTTAAAGCAAGCCCTTCATGATTTGCAATCTTGTACAATAAGGTCATTGGTGACTTTTTAAAAAGTTACATTTGATTTTATTTTAATGATTTTCATATTCAAGCTTTGATTTGAGTTTTGGGGTAGTTTTTCTAATAATTCACAATGGTCATGGATTTTATATGTGCACATACATGTAGATTTCAGAGGTTGATGTCATGCCTCTTGTTAAGAGAAGGTTCTCACGGAAGCTGGAACTCACCAAGTTAAGCTAGACTGGCTGCCTAGCAAGTACCAGGAGTCAGTGCTGTGTCTACTTAGCCAGAGTATGGATCCTGGAGCCTGAACTCGGGTCCTTGTGCGTGTACTTTACTATCTTTGTAGCCCCATAATCATCATTAATGTGTTCACTTTAAGAGTTGGAACGTAGTCTAACTTTTTTCCTTAGAAATACGTAACATTCAATTTAAGTGATTCCTTTCCTTGGTCGTCTCAGATTCCATATGTCAGACATATTTTGACTTTGTGTTTTAGTCCAAGTGGCACAACTAACAAATCTTTTAATTTCAGAAAAGTTGCTTTTGTCAAACATTGGGCCTACCATTTTTTCATATGCAGGTCACCACATAGCACTGTTTGTTGTGGTTTTGTGATGACAAGGTGAACCCAGGACCTCGTGTATACCACTGAGCTATATTCCAGCCTAAAGTAGAATTATATAACTGTTGGCACTAGTTAGAGCTTGAGTAGGCCATTGTTTGTTGAAGGGTATTGTCCTATGTAGTGTAAAATGTTTGAGCACTTTTGCTTATAGACATTTATCAACTAGAGAAAAGTACCATACCAGTTGTGATAAGAGATCTCTAGACATTACTAAATGATCCCAGAGCAAAATCACTTCCATTTGAGCAACACTGCGGTAGGAAGGTGTCTCATTTCCATAGCTGCCTGTAATTTCTCTGGCAATTTGTTAACAAATCGATAGTCCATGCGACTCTAGATGAATGCATGATAGTAGTAGGCAGAATATATAAGAGCAATTGTTATCCTGTTACCCTGTCATATAATCCCTGTTGTTAAAACAGATATCATTTTATTTTTCTTTAATTGGGCTTTTAAGTTTTGTAGCTTAAAAAAGGTGGAGTAGGACTGAGTAGAAATCTCATAATGAAAGGAATATGCTTTACATTTGAGTATTTAAACATTAAAAGCCTGCCTATAACCCTCACCAAATAGAAAAACTAAAACTCAACACTTTGAAATGTAAGTAAGAGAAACTGGTTGAAAAATAAATAGGTTTTTACTAGGCATGCATGAGATTTGTTATAGTTGAATATAGTTCTGAGGTTCTAGATGACAAAGAGCAAGAGAAATGCTGAGTTTTTATTACAAGTTCTAACTTGATACACACTGTAAAAGTTGTGCACCATACTACTTGTTCTACAATACTTATACTCCCTTGTTCTCTTTTTACCCAAGATAAAGTGAAATCTTTTCGTGCAGCGCTACAAGAAGAAGAACAAGCAAGCAAGCAAATTAACCCCAAGAGACCCAGAGCCCTCTAAAGTTGGTATTTGCTACTAAAGATCCCCAGAATCCCCAATACTGTAACAAATGGTGGTCCAACCGTAAAGGCCACTTGAACGTTTTTGGAAATCTTTTAAGTGTGTGGAAATATCTTGTCCTTCACCTGAATGACATTTCAATTTTGTGAAACACTCTGTCTACAAAATGCTTCTAGTCCAGGAGGCACAACTAACAATTGGGATTAATGAAGTATTTTGTTTCATTTACCCAAATAGTGATTGCTTTTGGAAATCCTTGCCAATTTTTTTAAAGATTGTGGAAGTAATCCAGAAGTGAAGAGTAGGGGGAAGCCACAAAATTTCCTTTAACTCAGATCCATTTTCATAGCAAGACTGAGCAATTTTGAATACTTTGCGTGCATGCATACCTCATCAGTGATTGTACATACGTTGCCTACACTCCTAGAGACAGCTGTGTTTACTCCTCCTCCTCTGTGCCTTGACTAAGGCTACTGACCCTAGATTTCTGAAGCACAGCCAAGATAAATTACATTCCTTATTTGTAACTGTAAATTACCTTTATTGTGTGTACATTTTTACTGTATTTGAGACTTTTTTTGTGTGTGTATGACTAGTTAATTTTACAGTATGTGCCATAGCAATTGAACGGAACTAAAGTCTGTGACAGTGGACATAGCTGCTGGACCATTCCATCTTATATGTAAAAAAAAATCTGGAATTATGATTTAAATACCATGACATGTGATTATAATTTTCTTTGTAAAAAACTAAAATATAAACTAGTTGGTGTATAATAAAAAGTAAAGAAATTCTGAAAAGAGTTTTATCTTAGGATAATACATATATATATGCAGTGTGTGTGCCAGTGGTGTTAACAAGACTAATAGTGTAATTTGATCCTTAACAATGCCATTATTTAAGTTGAAGTGTTTCCTGGCGCCCCAAATTTAATGTACTGTTAAAGGAAATTGGCTTCTGATGCATGAACATTTGTATGTACACTGAAAGTAGTCCATAATACAAGTTAGATAAACAAGTATAGATGGTATGTAATCCTGAGAAGTGTCAATGCCTTACAGGGCAGGTTATAGCAAGCTCCATCAATATCTAGTATGTGATGGTTTGCCATTGATGAGAATCACATCTCTCAGATAGATTGGTAGCAAGGAAAGCTACTCATTAAATGGCAGCACTCATTTTTACAGCTGCTACTCTAAAAAAGAAAACTGGCCGATTTTCATGTAAATACTGTTTAAAGATTTATACATATACATAGCTATATATATATATACATACATACATCTCTAGGAGGTTTCCCTTGGTTCCCAATATATATATATATATATATATATATATATATATATATATATATAGTCCAGTAGGTTAACCAAAGAACCTCCCATGTTTCTCTTGATTAGGGAACCTACTGCTTCACTCAGTGAACCAAGGGGAAATCTATGAATAGAGTCAACGAGCCAGAGCCTTTACTTCACTGGTCTTAAATGAGAGGATAGCTGAGGAGTCCTAACACCATGGTGAAAAGCTCTGTAAACATGAAGTGTAGATTTTTCACAATATGCTTATTAATAAATGAAATCTATGAAATGAATTTAGAAATAATGTACTTCAATATATTCACCTTTGTTTTGGAAGGAACTCAGGTTTTCTTGCAGTTGTAAGATGTATTCTATTTGTGTCTGTTTCAAAGACGAGAGGAAGAATGAAGAACTATGTCTATTGACCTTGCAGAGACTGTTAACGGTAATTTTTGCCAGACATAGTAGCACATGCCTTTAGTCTCAGTACTCAACAGAGGTAGGTGGATGTCTGAGTTCCAGAGCTATGTAGAAAGATCTTATTGCCAATAAAAGGGTAATTTTTGTGAACGCCTCATATGTAATAGGCAATAATCACACAAACTTGCTCATTAAGCACAAAGTTTAGCTTTAATGTTATTGGCACTGGACAGGGGCTACCCTTGGAGGGTCTTTATAGACCCTTTATAGATGCTGACTTCATCTTAATCCATAGAAGAGTATTTGAAAACTAGTACCATCAAACATCCTGGGAAGTAAAATATGATTCAGCATGACAAAGGAAACTGAAGACCAGTAAAGGGGACTAAAGGTCAGCAGTTGGTGAGTATAGGGAACAAACTGAGAAAGCCTAGTTAAGTACAATTGTTTCTCTAAAGGTGGAGATGGTACTTACAAGTGAACTCTGCAAAACAGTTGTGACATTAAAGGTAACTAACCCATAAGAATAGTTACTGTTTCTATATATTAAAAAAAAAAAAAAATCTTTTGCAGCTAAGTAACTTTTTTTGGTTTTTAGACTAAATGTTCTTTAGCACTTTCTCAATTAAAAGCTGCTATACATTATTGTAACTGTTGACAGCTAACTATTCAAAATTATAACAACATTTACTATATGACTTTGAAGCCAGATTTGGTGGGGGGAGGAATCTGTGTAGACAAACAACTTATATTCTTGTTTACTTAGCATCCTTTACTAAATTAATTGAAAACATTCTTTTAAGTTTTGGGTAGAAAGAGAGCCAAATAGCCAATGAAGATAGCTTAATTTCCTTACATAAATAAAACAGCTAATTTATTAAAATATATAAACAGCATTTATCTTCAGTCTGAAAATTTTTAAATAGCTTAAAAAGAAACACCACATACTAGAATTTCAACTGTCCAGAAGCAAGGAACCACCAGGAGCCTGTAGTTGTGGGAAATGGCTGTTCCTTTAAAAAGCTGAAAACTGAAACTGGAAAACTTATTTTGAAGCTACACACAATGGTACACAAGTGTAATCCCAGCATTTAGGAGGCTAAGACAAGGTTTTTTTTAGGTCAACTTCAAAAAGATAAAAGATCCTCTCACTCATTTAAGAAAATAAAACCACCAAAGTAATAAAGCCCATTTGATTTAACCCTTCTGGGGTTTTTCTAAGTCTGAAATTTGTAGATCTTGCCTCCCCCAAGAAAATAAAAACTTGACATGATTTTTATTAGTTTCTTTCTAAACTTCTGCATTTCACACACAGGTAGAGTCAGAGAGCATGCCTGTACTGTATAATTGCAGGAGACTCCAGCTTACCCAAACAGGCAGTATTGTCTGTATTGCAACAGTTCATCTAACAAAGAAGGCATTAATACCTGGAAACTATATAGGATGAGGAGGGTGTGTAAAGGGAAGTCATGTTAAGTAACTTATTGTACATGTGAATGAGAAGGAGTATGGGGATTTGTGACTGACTGAGCTGCAGGCCTAAAGTAGGCCTCACAGTCCGTAACACAGTGAATAAAAAAAGTAACATCTTTATACAATAAATTATTAGAAAGTTTACATGTATGGTTGTGCGTGTTTGCGGCTTTTGAATTTGAAAACCATAATGTATGTTGAACCCTGTCCTTTGCAGTATATTTTAAACACTTAAAAAAGAATACATAGAATCAACATCTTTTAACATACAGGACAATATTAGAAATGTATAATTTCATTTTTTTTCTTGGTCTTGAAAAAAATTGTTTTCAAATGGCTAGGAAAAATGGATACCTTCTGCATTGAATCCATGTAGCAACCTGAAAGGGGAAAAATGGAAAATGAATGGTTACAAAAAAACCCCAACTTTTAACACGTATTACATAAACATACTTACACACTTATTCCTAGTACTAGTTATTAAAGAAATTGTACTCTCCAAATGAATTGGCAAAATATACTGTATCATGTTTGTCTCGTATTCTAGTTTGACTGAAATTATAAAGACTTCCTACCCCAGGCCACCCTCATCAGCCCTTACTCTATTTCAGCATGACCAGCTAGAAAAGAAACTAGCTGGAATTTGAGGGAAAGTGGGATGAATAATCTCTTCCTATTCTCTGAACTCTTACTGATGTTTAATTAAAATACACATTATTCCCTTGTGGATATTACGTGCTTATCTGACTTATGTTAGAAAGTGATACCCTGCGGAAGTTAAGAAGGAAGTTTAAGATACAATATATTTGGACGTGAGCTTACTTTTCAGGATGGCCTGTGTGGATTAAAGTGTCTGGAAAAGCAATGTGTAGGTACTTGGGAAAGGCACTCAACTGTTAGGGTTAACAGTCAGTGAAGACTTAGTACCCCTGCTAGCCAGCCAATAAAACAGTAATTCCTTAAGTCTCAGTTCTAGACTGGTTTGCTGAAAAAGCAAACTAAGGTCTTTCAGCATTCTATCTTCATCTTTTTAAATTTAGTCTCTGGAATACTAGTGCTTAAATAATAAACTGGCTAAATGTGGGACACGTCCTATCCCAGAAGTAGAGTACTTGTCTAGCATATGTAGGCCTCTGAATGCAGTCCTCAGCAATGTAAAGGAAAAACAAAAAATGTTCAGGAACTTCTAGAAGTGTTAGTAAAAATAAAACAAGTTAGTACAATTGGGTAATTAACTGAAATTTGCTTAGTACAAAGTAAAACAAATTTTGGTCCCAATTGCAAAATAACTGTGGTACCCTTTAACTTAATAGGTGTAGAATTTGACTTAGGCCACATCTGCTATTAAATGAATAATCAGATGTGGTTATAACTGATGTTTCGTGCTTACCATCTGTTTAACAGTAGCTATTCTAAAGTAAGGAAATAATGGGTCATCAAATCCAATTATATATGTTAAAATGACTTTTCTACCTTACAGGCTATTTGAAGAGGTAAGCATAAACTGTTAAGACAATGAGTGAGTTTGGGGTTGGAGCAGAAGAAACACACAGCACACATAAACCTGGGCTACTTCTGGTGCAGACTGTTCTCTACTACCAATCTTACTACATGCATTCTGCTGCAGCTACTGCTGCAGCTACCTAGTTGCACCTTTCACACCAGTGGTTCTCAACCTGTGGGTCGTGACCCCTGGGGGGGTGTCAAATGACCTTTTCAGAGGGCTCACCTAAAACCATTGGAAAATGTAGACATTACATTGTGATTCTTAACAGTAGCAAAAGTAGAGTTGCAAAGTAGAAATGAAAATAATTTATGGTTGTGTGCGCCACATCATGAACTGTTAAAGGGTCACAGCACTAGGAAGGCTGAGAACCACTGCTTTACACCAAATAATGTTCCACACTGTGGAAGTGCTATGCAATAACTCCCAGGTAGCACCGTATGCCGCTTAAAAGCCTTTATGTCTCTCATCTTAAGACACCACAGTAGGGAAATGTAAACATTCAGGACAACGACAAATGTAATTACCTGATAAAGTCATCTATGTCCATGGAACGGGCCCGTTTGTCACTAAAATCTGTGCTGGTTAGGACTTGCTGTATTTTATCTGCTATACTGAAATCTTCTGGTATTACCTATCAATATAAGATTCAGAATAAATGAACAACATATCTTTGATGAAGACACCATGACTCTTTTTTTTTTTTTTTTTTTTTTTTTTTTTAAGTTCAGTAATTACAGTCACTTTTACTAGATTTGTAAATGACAGTGGGAACACCTGACCATTTGGGGAAGATCTGGATTCTAATATGAGGCTGGTTTTGTGACATAATACTTGGAATACTTTGAGCTATCATACACAGGTTGCCCTTTTTCATCTTTAAAATGGTAGAACAGGATTCAGACCTCACAAAATGAATAAAATTATATAGCAATTATCTTTTAAAAATAATTCATATAGCTCCAGGTAATTTTCCTGAAAACAGACTCCTCTCTTAAGTAAGTATATCACATGTTGGTGGGTATCATAGCTCACCCCTTCATCCCAGCACTTATGAGGCAGGAGGAGAGGAGTAACTTAAGCTTAGGGCAAGCCTGTGCTATAGAGTAAGGCTGTCTCAAAACAACAACAACAACAAAAATAGTGATTCATTTTACTTGACTCAGCATTTACCAGTAGACCATTTAAAATCCAACTTCGTGTTTTTAAATTTAGACCCATTTGTAGCAGCTTTTGTTCATATTAGAGAATGGAGACAGTACTATGTATGGTGTATTAAAGCATAGGAGAATCTGGGCTGAGATGGCTCAGCCATTAAAGGCTAGATGGCTCAGCCATTAAAGGCTAGGCTCATGTCTGCTCTGTCAAACTTAGATATGCTGAAAAACAAAAGCAACATCCACACATGCACATGTATATTCATGAGGACTCCCATACTCCAAACTGTTAAGAGGCATGAGGCACGTGACCAAAATTACCCACACTTTGTTCTCATTTAAGATTTCCAGATGGATGCCAGGCAGTGGTGGCACTCCTATAATCCCAGCAACTGGGATTTTAGACATTGAACTACACAGTGACAGCCTGGGCCACTGAGCAACAAACAGGGTCAGCACATTCCACACATTTAAGCCAAGCAAAGTACTAATCTATACATTTGAAGAATTACAAATCAGTTGGGTCTCACTAGGCTTAGATACAAATGTTCAAGAGGAGCTTGGTTCAGAGTTACAGCAGAACTAACCTTCTGAAAGTAGCCCACCACGCATGGTGGACAAGTCACACATCGTGTGCTGACTTTAAGGGTCCCACCGAATATATAGGTTAAAAACAAAAGTAAGAACTTGGGGGGTGGGGAGGGTTGTAGGGGAAGCTTGAGAACAATTTTATCAAGGGTTTCAGAGGAGAGCATGACAGAGCAGAGCAGCTCTGAGAACAATAGAGGGAAAGGCAAGAGCTGTGCTGTCTGCAGTCAGTGAGCATCGAGATCAGGCACATGGCAGGCAGGGTCCAGAGAAAGAACAGGAAGGCATGCTTCAGACAGACGGTAAAGAAGGCCATGCTTCTGTGAGCAACCCAGGAAGGCAGACCGAGGAAGCAGCACGCCTGTGCTGAGAGACGCTGGCAAAGGGTACTTTTAAAAGTAAATGTCTGAAAAAGCCAGGTGGCACACACCTTTAACTGCAGCGCTTTGGAGACAGAGGCAGGAGGATCTCTGAGTTCAAGGCCAGCCTCCTCTACATAGTGAACTCCGGGGCAGCCAGAACTATGTAATAGACCCTGTCTCAAATGAACAAAAATCACTGAAATGATAATTTCTACTTACAGTATTATGTACTGAACAGTGAATTCTATAGTTCCTTTCCAACAGCTGCTGTACTGCATTTGACCTGGAGATTAAATGACAATTATAAAGTCACATTATACACAATTTAAATTTAGACAAAATGAAATATATGTTCCAGGCCTATGAGGTGTCTCCATGGTAAAGGTGCTTGCCATGCCGAACAACCTGAAATCAAGAACCAGAAGCTACATGGAGGAAGGGAAAGCTCTTGTGTTTTCTAAACCCCATCACCACCATACCCACGCACCCACACACCCCCACACACACATAATGTGTAATTTTTATAATAAGGCTGGGCAGTGGTGGTGCACACCTTTAATCCCAGCCCTCATAAGGCAGGGACAGGAGGATGTCTATGAGTTCAAGGCCAGCCTGGTCTACAAAGAGTTCCAGGGCAGCTAGGGCTGTTACACACAGAAACCATGTATCAAAGGAAAAAAAAATGTATATGTATGACTTGGTGAAATTCAGGAATTTAAAAAGGGAACTAACACTTTATATAATATACATATAATATATATAAAGTTCCCTTTATATATATATTATATATAAAAATAATCCTAATAAACTAATAAAATCTCTTTAAGTACTCTTGTTCCAAACAGTGCTTTTTTTTTTTTTTTTTTAAACCTGCTGCACCCCACCCCCCATACAGTGCTTTTAAAGAAAAAGAGACAGACAGGTTTTCAGTCTGCTTCCCAAGCTGGCCTTAGGGTTTTAGTGCTCTAGTGAGAATGCCATCTTCACTTTCTGAGTAGACAGGTTTTCATTCTGCTTCCCAAGCTGGCCTTAGGGTTTTAGTGCTCTAGTGAGAATGCCATCTTCACTTTCTGAGTAGACAGGTTTTCAGTCTGCTTCCCAAGCTGGCCTTAGGGTTTTAGTGCTCTAGTGAGAATGCCATCTTCACTTTCTGAGTAGACAGGTTTTCATTCTGCTTCCCAAGCTGGCCTTAGTGTTTTAGTGCTCTAGTGAGAATGCCATCTTCACTTTCTGAGTAGACAGGTTTTCAGTCTGCTTCCCAAGCTGGCCTTAGGGTTTTAGTGCTCTAGTGAGAATGCCATCTTCACTCTCTGAGTAGCCGAGCTACAGATATGGTGCCTTAGATACTCCACAAAACCTCCCTAACCAAAAACAACTTTGCTGGGCTTGGTGGCAACAGCCTATAATAATACAGCTGCTAGAAAGGGTGAGGGTGAACTGCAGGTTCAAGGCCAGCCTGGAACTCAGAAGGTAACAGGAGGTCTGGGCGAGTCACCGAGTGACAGAATGCTCAGGGGGTGTGCTTAAACCACATACTCAATCCTTGGCACCGCCAGGGGAAAAGTCCATGCTCCCTAAAACCAAATCTCACCTCTTCTACCCTCAGATGCCCAAGCTGTGTTAGATCTTTCAAGTTAATAAAACAGCATAAAGCCTAGAAGGTGGCTCAGCTGGTAAAGGCACTTGCAGTGCAAGCCTAATAACCTGAGTCCATGCCCTGAACCCACTCCTCAAAGTGGTCTTCTGACCTCCAAATGAACACCATGACACATGTGCCTGCCCACAGTAAAATAATGGATAGGAGAAAACCCAAAAACGTGGGAAATGTGTGGTTAAGTTAGTTTTTCCTGTTTTGCAAAGAAAAAGCTGATTTGACTTCCTACTTTTCATTATTACATTCTACCTAATCTCTGTACTTTAGGGTAGCTCTTTTTGGGTAAAGGACCAAATGCTTTGACTACCTGGAAAACTACTTCTTCACTGTTACAGAGCAGTAGAATACTTACTTGAATGCAGCAGACAGTGTCTTGTTTTTCCGAACAAAAGCGATCCTTACTAGGCCATCCCATTCCTGAAATATAAGACGAATATTTTCTTTAGAATACTTAACTATGCCTGCTAGCTGTGATCATTTTTAATACATAAAGCCAGAGGGAATGAGAATGGCCTGCATCTTGGTCTCAATAGCACATATGCATCTTGATGAACACTTGAGACTTCTGCACTTGTTTCCATCTCACTGAATTTAACTGGGGGGGGGGGGGTTGTCCCCATACATAACATGGCAGTAGGAAGACTTTCAAAATAGAATCAAACTAAGGACAGTGGCACATGCCTACAGTCCTAGCACTTAATTAGGAGTCCAGTCATTCAGTACATAAGAGAATTTGAGCCACAAGAGAACCTACCTCAAAACACCTCAAAATATCAAACTCAAAACACAAATGTGATTTGATTTAGGATGTAGCTTGTGCAACAAGTTTTCTCTAATGTAATTAGTTGAATTTTACACCAAATCATCTAGGGTTTTGATGGGAGATGTCATTCTGTGTATGTTTCTCATACTGGTTAATGAATAAAGCACTGTTGGCCAATAGGGAAGGAAGATAGGAGGGACTAGGAGACAAGGAGGAAAGAGGAAGTAGTAAGGAGGAGTCAAGATGGAGAGTCTGGAGAAAGCAGAATGCTGGCTGGCTCCCCGGTAAGAGAAGACCACGTGGAAATACTAGATTAACAGAAATGGGTTAATAATTAAGACAGAGCTAGCCGATAAGAAACTAGTAACGGGCCAACAGAATTATATCTAATACAGAGTCTCTAATACAGAGTCTCAGTGTGTTAATTGGGGCTGGCGCAGCAGGACAAGACCAGCGGCGGGCGGAAAAAAAACCTTACTCCTTACAGGGTTTTGTTTGTTTTGTTTTGTTTTCTGATCACAAAACCAGTCACTTTAGTTGGAAAAATGTTTCCACAAGGGTTTCAGCATGCATAAGGCCTTGGGTTTTCACCCTATCCACACCAAAAAGAAAGTGTTATCACAGCACTATTCAAGCATGACTATTTTAATTTTACATTGTTTTCCAAGTTTTATTCAAATAGATGTTTCAGGCATGTATAATCTTAAGTTTTGAAATGCAACTGTATTCTAAACCTTTTGCTTTTTACAAAAATTTTCCGTATTTTTGTGTGGTACACAACTCTTTTCCATCAAATGACTCTAACCTAAGGCTGCACTGTACTTCCTATATCCTGTGTTTGGATGTGCAGGTTGGATCAGTACTGTTCTGCTGTTTTAGAATTCCCAATCTGGATTTTCTTGGCCTCACCTGGAAATTGATAGGTGGTGGTGGATTCTTAGGTTCTATCCTTACGACGCTAGACTCCACCTTAGGAGGTGGTCTGAAGTTATTCTTCCCCACCTATCAAAAAAAAAAAAAAAAATCAAAAAAGGTTTAGTCCTCTCACAGGCAACTTCGTTTACTTTTTATTTGGAGATGGGGGTCTCTCCATGTAGGTCTGGCTGGCCTGGAACTCAGAGATTCACCCCTCTGCCTCCTGGTTAAGGTGTGTGTCACCATACCTGGCAAGGGTAATTTTATAGTAACCAAAGATGCTCTGTTGGCCAAGTATGGTGGCTTAGGCTTTGGGAAGCTGATAGTTCCAGGCTAGTCAGTGTTCAGAATGAATTAAACTAGATTATTTAAGGATTAAAAAAAAAACAAAAACCTCACATACCTTCATTAAATGGTCCACACGTGCTAAAAGCTGTGTATTAATGGAGAGTCTGCAGTATAGTTTATCTCCAGGTTTTGCAACCAAACGAAGAGCAAATTCTCTTTGAAACATAAGTATAGCACATCTAAAAAGGAAGCAGAAATAAGAAAATTTTCTCATCTTCAGTTAGTCATATTTTTTAACTAAAAATGTTTTTTTTTTTTTTTTTTTTTTTTTACTTTGTGTCTGTTTTGCCTGTATGTATGCACATACCATGTGTGGAACTGGTACCCATGGAGGTCAGACATAGCAATGGACCCTTAGAACAAGAGTACAGCCAGATGTTAGCTGCCATGTGAGTGCTGGGAGTAGAACCCCGGTCTCTGCGAGTGCAACAACATATGCTCTTAATCACTGAGCAATCTTTCGGGTCCCTGTAGTTGTATTTTTAACCACAGTGAATTGTCCTGGCAGGATCTGTGGTTAATGGGGGTATGAGCAGAAGGTGGAAAACTTTCAGCCTTAGTGTCATCTTTACAAAACAGACAGGTGAACTCTTACCCCAAGGAAGATGGCTTTCCTTCATGGATTAGATGAACAACTATTCTGACCTATTGTTGTGTGTCAGCATTATATATTAGTCTATGATGCCTTCTGAAAACAAACAAACAAACAACAAAACCAACACCACAGTAATGTTTGACTCCACGGTAGAACTGTGTTTGTGGTGTAGTTGGAATTATATCTGAGGTATGGCCTGGTAGGTTACAATGTTCGGTGTTGTCTAAATTTAGCAATTTAAAAACACATGGACTTCCTCAGCAAACAATGGAGACATGTGTAAAGCTTAGTAAAGAGAAAGTTTTTAAAACTGTATTTGTATTTGAGGGTGGGTGTGGTATAGTGGGAATTGAAGCAAAGGTCTCATGCATGCAGGCAAATGCTCTACCACTGAGCTATGTCTCCAGTCCTCTAGATCTGGTTTTTATTTCGAGATCAGGCTTCATAAAGCTGCTTAAGCACGTCTTGAATCCACAATCCTCCTATCTTGGCCTCCAGGGCATATCTAGATTTCTATCTACCCCAAGCAAAACTTTTCTAAAACTATATGAAGTTGTCTTCTGATATAACGTATTCCTTGACAATTAAGGAGGGAATGGTGGCAAGGGACTGTGTGTGTGTGTGTGTGTGTGTGTGTGTGTGTGTGTGTGTGTGTGTGAGACACAAGTTAAAATGTTAAAGCCAGGTGACCTGAGTTTGATCCCTGAGATCCTGCAAGCTGTCCTCTGACCTCTGTAAGTGCACAGGCACGAATACACAATGTTAAAAAAGGATGGTTATGGCCCTATAGTTTATGATTTTATTTTATAAACACTGAGGAGGTATGTGACTTGGTTTCAACACCACTGGTATAAAACAGTTTTAACAACCAGTTAAGTTACTGCAAACCTAGACATAATATAAGAAACACTTTCTGTCAGTTTATTGAAGAGTATTAGAAAGCAGAGGGAAAAGCATGTACACACATTTACCACCCCAAGTAAAAGACAAAAAAATAGACTTATTCGCAAAAAGACCTTCCTAGAAGTCAGTACTTGTATGTGTGTTGCAGGGGGTGTGTATTTCTGAGACCAGGGTGTCACACAGCAAAGGCTGGGCCTAAACTAGCTATGAAGCTAGTATAGAGTGAGGCTCCTGCTTCTGGTCCCCGTGTCTGGCTACAGCAGTCACACCAGGCTGAGTTTAATGTGGTGCTGGAGACAACTCTGGGCTTTCTGGATGCTAGTAAGCATTCCACTCCATCCACTGAACTACATTCCTGTCCCAGAAACTGGTATTTCTTTTACAGAGATGAGCGCTCTAGTAGTTTTTCAGTTGTGTTCATTTTTGGCTGTGTTCCTGCCTAAACTGACAGTCTAAACTTTAGCAGTAATTGTGGTTTTTCACAAACCTGAAAAATGGTCGGTGGAGCAACAACTTGAAGACAAAGGGAGAGGAGATCTGAAAGAGAATTCATAGTTAGCATTGAGGAAAGACGTATCGGAGAAATATAGTGGGATGCTTCTGATAGTCTGAGGGATACCTGATAAGGCAAGTTTGCCACACAAGCATCGAAGAATGGCAAATCCGATTTCAATACATCTCCCACCAGGACCTGGAGTTTGCTGGCCAGAGGCCTGTTAACAAGGAAAGAAGTTTTAAGAGAATGTTGTTTCATGAGATTAAAATGCACTTTAATTATTACATATACTCACGTGCCCTGAACTCTTTTGTGAAGTTCGGCTACTAGCCTTGGATCAAGTTCACAGGCAACTACCTACATTAACAATAAGAAAAAAGCTTCACTATGAAGTATAAATCTCTTACCACCCAAGTAATAACTTATCCAATCTACACTATTTAAGCTTTTTCCAGGCTTAACATCAATACCCCCTCGACTGTATTCTACCACTTGAAACAATATCCTGTTTGTCTGTCTCCATGCTTTGTACCTGAAGATGGTAAAAAAGAGCACACTTATATAATCAGTGTTGTTAGACAAGAGACCTGCTCCCAGTGCTCTTTATTAACTGATATCCACAACGGAAGCAAAACATCGCAAGTGAATGAAACTGCAATCACCACATTACAATCGCAGCAGAGGTTTCCTGACTTCCGTGACTTCTACAGGGTCGACACCTGTGTGGCTATATTAGATCTCCCACCAACACACCAAGGGGAGATTTTGTTTTCTTGATTAATACATTTCATTTCCAGAGTTAAAATTTCTAAAGGCTCAATAATTGCCACTGAAACAATGGCAATTAATTAAAACATTTATATTTGTAAACCAGCTGAGCTAATTTAGCAGTAACACACGAAGACCCCTCCCCCTTTTACCTTTTTGGCCTTTTCTAACAGCTTGACAGTCATGTTCCCAGTCCCAGGCCCAACTTCCAGCACCACATCCGTAGGTCTTAGTGCAGCCTAAAAGCAAACACAACGCCTTATGCTTTTGGCCTGCCTGAACACATAGCTTCTAAATGACTATTTTCATCCATCAATGCATAGTTAAAGAGATTTTACTCTAGCTTCAGTTTTCTTGTTAACAATATTACCTTAAGTGCATTAGGTGTGAGTATCTCCATTTCCTAACCCAGGGGATATATTCAAACCGTAACTAAATCTGCCCCTGTCCAGCTTAGGGAGCAAGATTTCTCAATTTTTTTTTTTTTTTTTTTCCTCTTATTTTGAGACAGGGTTTTCTCTGGCTGTCCTGAAACTCACTTTGTAGACCAGGCTGACCTCGAACTCACTGAGATCCGCCTGCCTCTGCCTCCCAAGTGCTGAGATTACAGGTGTGTGCCCACCTCCGGCAGATTTCTCAACCCTTAACCGCTGTGTACTAAGAATATAGCAACCTCACAAAACTGTGTGTGAACATTACATACAACTAGAATATTCTGTGAGACTGGTAACTAAACATACAGAATTTGTACCATCTGTATTTTACCTCCTGGCACTCAATCATTCAAACCACAACACAATAATAGCACATACAGAATAATCCTCCGAATTATTTATATGCAGTACTACATATTTTTCACAGGAACAAATTTACTGTGTGGTTTAGACATAAGTTTAAACTCTAGAATAAATAAAAAGACAATTATAGACGCTTGGAAAGTGGAATCAGGAGGGCCAGAAGTTCAAGGCTGGCTCTGTCCACATTACCATACTCGGGGCCAGCCTGAATTACATGACACCCAGTCTCAAAACACAAACAAGAATCTCCAAAAAGTGATTAAATAATGCGGAGATTAACAAGTAAGTACAAAGGAAAGTCCAACCCACCAAATGGACAATTCACAGAAAGATAGAGGACACAGACTCAGAACGAAGCAAGCAAAAGACAGCGGGTGATTCCCGGACAATTCTTAAACATCTATGTTATGTCAGGTTAAGTACCCCGAAAAAGATGACACACAAACGCTCTGCCTTTGCTCTTCTACACCCACCTTATCGATAATGCTGTTAACAACTAGAGGATTTTTCAAAATGTGCTGCCCGATCCCTGTGTTGAACATGAGTCCTGGAATAAAACACGAAGCAGCCTTAATTTCCTCAACTTTTCAAGAATCGGTCCCAGGCCGTCCCGGAGAAGCAGCGGGGAGGATTTCTGCACCAATGACGGCTGGGGTAGGGCTGCAGCTCTAAGTCCATCCATCCCTCCGGCCGCGGCCGGGAGCGCAGACCGCAGTGGGCTCCCGCCGCGGCCCGCCCCCAGCTCCCGGCACGCCGCCGCACCTCCGGCCCGCTTCAGCTCCCGGCGCTGCTCCTGCCGCTCGCGCCGGCGGCCGCTCGCCGCGGACTTGGCCTTCGGCATCTTCTCGGGAAAGCCGGCCCGGGAGAGGCGAAAGCAGCGAGTACCGCGTGCAAGTCGCCCTTGGCGTCGTCACGACCGAGGCGCCAGTGAGACCCACTTCCCCTCCCACTGCGCTCAGGGGCCCTCCGGGTCAATGGCAGGCTCGAGCCCGGTGGCCGCCGGGAATTGTAGTCTCGGCTGAGCTCGCGCCGCAGGACCCGGTTCGAGCCCGGTGGCCGCCGGGAATTGTAGTCTCAGCTGAGCTCGCGCCGCAGGACCCGGTTCGAGCCCGGTGGCCGCCGGGAATTGTAGTCTCGGCTGCAGCAACGACTTCCTCAGAAGCCAGGGTTCCCAGAAGACCCCGCGCTGCCGAGCCGCGCAGTTCTGATTGGCTGAGTCAGGGTTGGCAAGCTGGATTGGCCGGCCCCGGGACCTCTGCTTCCCCTCCCACCACCTCCTCCTGCAGAGATCCCCAGGTGTCCTCCTGCAGAGATCTCCAGATCCCCTGGAGGTTGTCCGGTGAGAAGCCCAGGCTTGAGGAATATGCAGCCAAGGCTATTACAAAGGAACCCTATCTCCCAGTCTCGGGAAAAACAAAGAAGGAAAAGGAAAGAGAGTGTCTTCCCAAGCCTTGGTTTTAGCTGTCCCTTGCTTTGATGTAATTCGAACTCTGGAAAAATGCTAAGCTATCCTAATAGTCTTCTAAGTTTTACTGTTACCCAACGAGGACCACTCACTGTCCCTGAGTCTTCCTTCCAGCCGACTGGCGACTACATCTAGGTATTCAAGAGCGAAATGCAGCCCTGAGCTTTTCTCGGAATCCATAACCTAACGTGAAGTCCCCAAGGTTCCCATCCCGCAGCTCTAAGCTGAGTAGACACACAAGCCAGAATATGCGATTAGCAAAAACAGGGAGTTGCTTTTCTTCGAGGAGTTGTTTTCCTTACGATCCCTCTTACAGTGACTAGCTAGCACCTTCCTCTGCTTACAAAGTTCGTCCGAGGTACTAAAATGAAGTCACTAAAGACAGCTTACAGCCCTCGTCCTCCATTTCATTCATTGTCATGCGCATAATTCTAGGGAGTCTACATTGCGCCAGTCACTGCCATGTGTTAGGAGGAAAAAGATAAAAATGGCTTATTAAAAGTTCATTTTTTATAAAGGAGGGTGCAATCTGATACACGCATCGACACCCCACGCTCCCAGGCTGCCTCCCTGGGAGGCTGCCTTCTCTTCACTGTATGTCTTGGCTATGGTTTCTGTTGCTGTGAAGAGACACTTGACCAAGGCAACTCTAACAAGAAAAAAACATTTAATTGGGGCTGACTTACACAGGGTTAACCTCTTACCATCATGGTGAGAAAGCACGGCTGCATGCAGATGGACTTTGTGCTGGAGAAGGGACGGAGAGTTTTGCACCAGGCAGCAGCAGGAGACTGTGTACCACACCGGGTGTAACTTGAGCTTATGAGGCCTCAAAGCCTGTCCCCATAGTGACACACTTCCTCCAAGGCTGTACCCCCTTCTAATAGTGCTACTCCCTATAAGCCATGGGGGACAAACCTATCCAACCCACCTATGTCACTATGTAACTATGTCACTGTATCACTATGTCAAAAGCACAGCACATTCTAGACTTGGCACTCAACGCCAGAGCTGATGGTGAGACTGTTTTTGAAAGGCCTTAGGTCATTTTCCAGGAGCAGGGGATGGCAGGGTCACTGGTAGGACCTGGTAGGCCTGGTAGGACCACAGCTGTTTAGCAACTTACACACACACACACACACACACACACACACACACCTTGTGAGCTTTGCCAATTTGAGAATTTACCTACATGGATTGGTGTTGCTGGACCTTCAGAGTTATGACAGTGATGAACAAGACAAGAAACTGACAGCTTGTTGAACAAAATGAAAGAAAAACAGAAAGAACGAAATGAAGCAGAACAGTATTTGGCAAGTGAAGAATTTACCACCCATGGTTCAAAAGTGAGGTCATCAACAGGTCCTGGCTAACCGCTAAAGAGTGTGTAGCAGAGGGTGGTATAGATAACGTGCTTGGTGAAGGTTCGACTTACCAGAATATTAAAGTTCTGCACTGAAAGCAGTTTGGAAATATTCTCACTCTCAGTGGGGATGCTGATTTGTCAAAAAGTGATTCAGTATATACCCACACTGTCATGGACAGTTGCAGAAAAGACTACACTGGCAAAGATGTACTGATACTGGGAGGTGGAGATGGGGAGGGGCAGCATATTTGAAATACAAACTGAAACCAAAGATGGTCACCCAGGCAGAGGCTGGTGATTGACAGGTGTGAGTGACAGGTGTGATTGACTTGACGGGTGTAAGAAATATATGTGAAGAACATGTGGTAACATCTTCGGTAATCTTAAAGGAGATTGTTACCAGGTTATCATAGAAGAATGTATTCCATCACTGAATAGATTTGTCAAAGGAGGGGGAGAGTTTGTGTCATTAATGATTTGACAGCTGTCCTCAACCTTTCAGTGGAGTACTGAAATGGGGTGGGGAATGCTTCACACAGGTCTGTGCCAGTCTGACAGTGCTCTGTGTCCCCAGGAAGAACCGAGAGAGACATCTTTGTTGCCCTGTGCACTTCTCCAGGGAGACTGTGTCCTTTCTTTCTTGGAATTGTATTTCTGCTGTTTGGAAGAACACTATGTCTTGAAATGAGCATCCCTGGATGACAAGTGCTGAAAACCGCCTTTTTTGACCTGAGTGTGCTGAATATGCCAACAAATGAGACAGGCCATTGATTTAATGTTTAAAAAGCCAATGGAACGTAGCTTATATTTTTATAAGCTACTACAATGTTAAGTTTTTTGAAAATCATCTGAAAGCAGAGAAAAAAGTGAAACGCACTACCCACCTAGAATGTGATGTTTTTAAATTGCTTTTTATCTCTGCATGGAACCTTTTGGGGAAAGGTTAGTTTTGGTTTTAGGAGACATTCTATTTGGGTGTTTGGAGGAATAAAATTATTTGTTCTGTAACTGGAGAGATGGTTCAGTGGTTAAGAGCACTGTCTGCTCTTCCAGAGGTCCTGAGTTCAATTCCCAGCAACCACATGGTGGCTCACAAGCATCTGCAATGAGATCTGATGCCCTCTTCTGGCATGGAGGTTTGCTTGCAGATAGACTACTCATATATGCAAAATAAACAAAAATCTTCAAAAAATTATTTGCTCTGGAGAGTTTTTTTTTTTTTTGACAGGGTTTCTTTGTGTAGTCCTGGCTGTCTTGGAACTTGGAACTCTCTCTGTAGACCAGGCTGGACTCACAGAGATCCACCTGCCTCTGCCTCCTGAGTGCTGGGATTAAAGGCTTGCACCACCACCTCCCAGTTGGAGAGAAGTTCTTGATGGTGTCCTCCAACTTCTGACACTGACTTAGATATTAAAATGTGGATCTTACAAGAAAGCTAAAGTAAAAAATGAATCAGCACAGCTTCACTTAAAATTGCAAAAGAGAAAGAAAAAAAAAAAAAAAAGGCGATAAAGTACCTAAGGGTTAGCTTAGCACGTGAAAGCACTGGCTGGAACCACTGTGGACGGAAATAACCTACTCTTGTAACTTATTCTCTCAAGTCTGCCTGCCTCTCCCTCACCCTGCTACCCACACACAATTGAAAGGGGTAGGAAGGTTGAGAGAGTGACAAGAACAATAATAGCCCTGCAATTTATATTCCAGGTACTGAACAAGTGTGTTATTGCCCTTACTAACTCTTCCAAACAGCTCTGTGAGGTAGATAATGTGTCCATTTGATAGGAGAGGGAAGTAAAAGGCAACAATGTACAGAATGTTGCTCCTGCTAGCATAATAAATGACGGCTGCTCTTTGAAATGACACCTGGGCTTGGTAGGCTTGGTGCCTTAGATTGATACTACCCCACTTTAGCTGGTATCTGAGGAGATCGGGGGACTGTGTCCAAATACAATATTTGAAATTGGACATGGTGGCACAGTCCTGTACTCCCACTTGGGAGGCTGAGGCAGGAGGATTACTGAGAACTTAAAACCACTTTGGGCTCTACAGTAAATTCCAAGCTACTTAAGAGAAATCCTGTGGGATGATCATTTTGTATCCCGTGTGAGAGAAGATGTATTAAAAAGTAACAGACTAAGAGGTAGTTATGTTGTGCAGGGCTTGCCCGGAATGTGTGAGGCCTCGAGTTTGATCTCCAGCCCCACATACTATTAATACTTCAAATAAATACTTTCCATGTGCTAAGTCATCGCGTATCAGCTTAAGCTGAGACCACACTAAAGATATCAAAACAATAGAAGAGGAACTGTTTATTTTTTCCTCCAGTACTGCTGTCTGCATTAAGATGCTATAACTGATGAGAAATTTCTATAGAAATGAGAATGAGGAATGCACTAGTACAGAAAAAACAGGTATTAAAAAGTTATACACATCCAAAGAGCTTTCGAGAGGCTTCTTTTGAGATGGGGGTCTTATTATGTAGCCCTGGCTGGTCTAGAACTCACTAAATAAACCAGGCTGGCCTCAAACTCACAGAAATCCATTTGCTTTTGCCTCTTGAACACTGGGATTAAACACATGCACCACCATGATGGACAAGATTTATTTATTTATTTATGTGTGTGAATGTGTGTATGCCATGTATGTATGGTAGCCAGAAAGGTCAGAAATGGGCATCTGATCACCTGGAGCTGGAGTTAATAGGTGGTTATGAACCACAGATGCTAGGAGCTGAACTTGGGTGTTCTGGAAGAGCAACAAAGACTTAACTGCTAAGCCATCTCCTCGAACTTGAAAACTTGTTCTTGTAATTGGAATTGCTTCTGTGTCTATGGAGGTTCCCACTATATTTTATACTTATTTTTATGCCCTTTTGCAAAATATAAACAATCATATTATATGTAAAAAAGTATTCAAGTAATAAACATCTCATAAACTATTTGGATACTTGTGCAGTGACATGTTTATCACTGTGACAAGCATCTGAGGGAAAAAAGGAGGATGGTGTATTTTGGCTCATGGTTCCAGAGATGTGGAT